TGACAAAATAGGTTTATGCCTGAGGCCTGCCCTAAGCCTAGAATTTATAAGCTGGGAAGATATTTTAGAGCATCCAAGCCATGTCGTCTTAAACTTCATTGAAAGAAAATGTCACAGTGAAAACGTGTCGATCAGTACAGATCTCAGAGACCATGCAGTGTTAAATCACTGGTGCTTCAGGTGCGTTGTGTGTTATTCTTCATTAATTCTCACGTCCTCTGAGCCAGGGGACTTCTTTAACTGAAGTACAGAAACAAGAGGGCCATCTGCAAAACCCACATTTCTACAGTTCACTCACCTCGGACATTGTGAAGGCTGTCTATAGTCATCTATGTCCAGTGCTGGACTGCGAAGAATAAACCCTCATTCAAAAAATTGATCTGATGTTTGGTTCGATCAATTCAGAGAAAAAGTTAAGACAATATTTTGGGAGTCACTTGTAGATTAAATACCAGGTAACAGATGGGCTGTTTTCAATTTTAGCCATTTTGGGAGTACCAATGAGGTGTCAGGAAACGGAGGCACGATTGTATACATTGCACTGTTATTTCTTAGGCCCATGTTTAAATGATAGTTCTAGAAATAACTTATTTTCCTTTTCATATAGGTCTGACCCGGCCTATGAATTTCAAGGTTTTGATGAATTACATTTATGTTTGACTTCAGTTTGAATGCTTTCAAAGGTTGATTTTTTATCAATTAAAAAAAAATATCTCACAAAAAAGCTTTATTTCCATCTAAGTATCTTTTTGTTTATCTGTTGGGCATAATCTCACATTTCTGTGCAAATGATTTCAAGTCATTCTAGGTACATTGTTTCATTAGTGATTTTTGCCCTTTTAATTGTGTGATGACTTATTTTTCCTCACTTTAGTTCATGGAAGAGGTATATCCAACCTCCCTCACTCAATATATGACAGACTTCCACTCCTCTTTGTTGTTCACTGATGCACTCTACCTTACTGTGAATAAATCCACATACCTGGTGCTTGAAATCCATAAGGATGGTCAAGATTTTCTAATGTTCACTGAATATCTCTAGAAACTGGGATAGAAACTGGCAGCAGGCTCCTCAGATCTCCTGCAATTAAGCTATCAAGAACTCCACAGTTCTTTTCTTCTCACTTGTAGTAGACATTCAGGAATATGCTTTGGGCATTCAGTTGTCCCAAGAGCATTGCTGAGATGCGTATTTGTGGGTAGTGGGGAGGATGTGACTTCCGCTGCAAAGATTCATTACCTTGTCTGGTGAGAATCCTGCTGGGAAATAGGCTACCAAGAATTCCTGTTAAAACTGGAAAGAAATTCCCACACTCATAACAACCCAGGTAGCAGACCGATGTGACTCAGCCACGCCCAGTTATTGGGGGTTCTAACAGTGCTTGCAGTTCTTCCCTTGGTTCACGTGCAGGAAACCTACCAAGTCTACTCTTCAGACTGCTTTCTAAGCTTCAAGTTTTCCACGAGGAAAAGCTCTGATTAAAACTGGCTGTAAGATTCTGTCACAGAAAATTCAGTCAGGGCTCCTCAGGGCAGCAAGAGACATGATTTCAACGTTCACGATTATCTGACCTATACTCTGTGTAGGGAAGAAAACTGTTTCCTTTCCATTCTTGGGAAAATGCCTTTGTGGCTCTCTCCCTCTAAGCCGCTACTCCTTCCTCTCTTCCCCCACAGGCCAACGAGTTTAGGCAGCAGAGAACGTAAAATACTTGAATTTCCGTTTCAAATTATGTTGAACATTTATATCTTAATACAGAAAGCCCTCAACAATTATTTTTTAAAAAATCACCAAGTATGACTCAGGTAATACTACTCCTGTTTAGAAGAAGAAACAGGGTTATTCAGAAATAACTACACATTTTTAAAAATCAAACTCATCAAATGCATCTTTAGGGATGAACGTGAGATTCAACTGCAGTGTGGTTAGTTACCATGACCTTGGGAAAGTTACTTAACCTCTCTAAATCCCGGTCTCCTTATCTGAAAAATGATGATAAATCTCTCTCTCATAGGGTATGTGTGAGAATTATGGAGCTTGTTTATGTAAATAACTTTGCATAGTTCCTGGCATTAAAAATGAAAATAAAGGGTTAAAATAAAAAATTAAACTCAACAACAGTGATGATGTGATGCTATGCCCTTTTAGTCAAGTAATCATATTTTTTACTCTGAATTAAAAAATCTTCCCCAAATCTTAAGTTTATATATACTATGATCAATATTTTCCTTTTATAGCTATAAGCTGTAGGAACACATAGTTGCAATTCCCCAGCATTTTTATTGGTTACACTTCATAAACTAGTTTTTTCTTTATTGATCATGATCACATCGACTCTGCTTCTTCATCCTCGAGAGGTCTCTTGGGCCAATCAATATTCTCAATGGACTAAAAGAGCTCAATTTAATCATCTTAGTATCAGGGCAAATGTATCTTTTGTTTCCTTTACTGACTGCTAACTATGTGTAGAATAACCAACTAAATTGTCATTCATTAACAAATTTTTATTTACTCTGCATTAGGCAGTGCTCTAGGCTTGCGGACAGAGCAGTGAACAAACAAAGTCCTTGGCCTTGTAGAGGTTACCTGGAAGAGTGCCAAGAGAAATACAATTATTTGTAAATTAGGATAACTAGTTTAATGGTGCTTCATTTAGAGTAACTGGGCAAAAATCTTTTCTCCCCTGTGAAACTACATTGAGTTGCATCATGTGGGAAGAAAAACGCACATCTAGGTTTAAGAGTAATTGTGAAGCATAAATAATAAATCAGAGCTTTCATTTAGTTCCTACTGTTTGCTGATAAGAAGCCCTGGTTGCGCAGTGGTTAAGGGCTTGGCTGCCAACCAAAAGGCCAGCAGTTTGAACCCACCAGCTGCTCCATGGGAGAAAGATGTGGCAGTCTGCTTCCTAAAGATTACACTCTTGGAAACTCTATGGGGCAGTTCTACTCTGCCCTACAGGTTTGCTATGAGTTGGTATTGACTTGATGGCAATGGGTTTGCTGATCCTACAGGCTATAAAATTGGATAAAATACTGTAACTTTCCTTACAGAGGTTTCTAGTTGGAGGATACGGTAATGTCTGCTAAAGTGCCTTTTTTCAGCGTAACAAATGACTGATCTGAAAAGACTGAAGGAAGCACATGTTCTAGCCATCCAAATGTAGCTGCTCCACTGTATCTCAGCACTCCAGCTAAGGGCAGCCACAATTCTGTCATATTACAATTTGGGACTTCAGTACCTCTGGGAAATAGTCAGACCCTTCACTTTTAAGTCCCTTGGTATTACTAAATTATCTCAGTGTTTGAACTACCTTTCTGTTATTTTAGACAAAAATGTTGTTATTCCTGCATTCTGTGATATGTAATTACCAAGGGAAGATATTACCGTTCAAGAAACCTGTCTTCTTGGACATTACTATTTTTTTTTTTTCCCGCCCAAACCCCCAGAGAATTAATGTACAATTATGCACAAACTAAGACAGCCTATGAAAATGGCCTGGGTCGATACCAACACAGCCCTTAGACGGATTAAAAGGAGTGACATCTAATTTGGTCAGGGGAATTTGGGGAAAACTTAATGAAAAAGTGACATCCAAGCTTAGCCTTAAAACATGGGTAGAATTTCCATCAGAAGAAAAAGAGAAAGCAAAACGAAGTGTAACTGGGAAAGAGGAGGATCAGTAGATTTTGGCTGAAGACAACAAATCAAGAGCAGGAGGAATGATTTCCCAAAGCTAGGCATGGTGCTGGAAGGGGCACTTAGTATTTTAACATGCTAGAGTATACTTGTCTGTTGGACACAATTAGCGAAATACAGAGCATTGAAAGATCTAAATTTTTCTCTTGGGCAACACTGGCTCAATGTCTCATGCACTTTCCTGAAGGCTCCCTCCGAGCCCCCAACATCTAGTCAGTGCCCTACATGTCTCCTTTGGGAATGACAACATCCACTGGAAAAACAGACATCCTGTTTGTGACGGAGTTTTTAGTTTTATTCACATCTTCATGTGATATTCTGTAGTAACAAATACTGTTTGTGTATAGATCAAGCACTAAGGCAAGTTTATTTCCAATTCTCAGACTGACCTTTAACAGCTGAGGAAACTGAGCGTGTAGGCAGATTAATGGACTCACTTAAGGCCACAAAACGAGTTTGTATTTTAACAGGGGTCTGCTTGATTTAAAGACTCAATCCCATTCTACTTTTGTGGCTCTTGATCGGCAACATACGTTAGAATTATCCCAGGAAATTTAAAAAGATGATGTACTTAATTTTTAATCAAAGAAATACACATACATAGCACAAAAAAACAATACTGTTAGACTGGTAGTGAAAAGAGCAGTCCTCCGCCTCTTCTGTAGCCATTCCTGACTTCCCTTCTCCAGACAATCACTTTGAGCTCTTAGTGGTTTCTCATTGTAGTTACCTCCATTTTTTGGAATAACGTTTATATTGCTTTTCCTTGATTTTTCTATATTAAGTTTTGACTGACTCTCCATTACACACACCCTTCAGTGTTTACCTAATTAAATTGTGGTCAGGTAGATTCTGACTCATAGCGACCCTACAGGACAGAGTAGAACGACCCCATAGGGTTTCTAAGGCTATAATCCTAACGGAAGCCGACTGGACAGACTGCCACATCTTTCTCCCGAACTAAGGGGCTGGTAGGTTCCAAATGCAGGCCTTTCGGTGAGCAGCTGTAGCCGAGCATTTAACCACTGCACCATCAGGGCTCCTTGTTTACCTACTTAGGACTGACTCTATGACTACTGGAGCCCTGGTAGTGTAGTGGTTAAGCTTCCGTCTGCTAACCAGAAGGTCGGTAGTTGGAATCCACCAGTCACTCCTTGGTAAACCCTATGCGGCAGTTCTACCCTGTCCTATAGGCTCACTATGAGTTGGAATCGACTTGATGGCAAGAGGCCTGGTTTTGCTTTATGACTAGTATTCTTCACAGTTGATGCATGCAATATAGCTCTTGAACAACTTTTTATTTTTCCTGGGGTTCATAACTGCCTCAGCTTTTTATTTTTTTATGTACATATAACTAATTCATCAACAGACTCTGAAAAACTAAAAATTTGTCTCTACATTCAAATATGTCAGAAACTCCTTTAAATTTTTCATTTTGAGACATCCCACCTGAACTCTCCTTCTTCAGGCATTTCCTGTTGACTTCATGCTATTCTCCCCTACCCTCCTCCCTCTTAATATAGTTATATCGGTATCTTAGCAACTTTATGACTTTCCTTTAAATAAAATACATCTTTTTTTTCCTCTCACACATAGTATCTCTTCAACTTCCCACTTTATAAGGACACCATTATCATCCCCCCCAACATCCCCACTTGCCAACTATACTACTACATTATCAAAGGCTGGTAACATTTGCATTCTATTCTGTAAACACAATTAAGTATTCCCTTAAAAGATGGCAGCCATAAACAATATTTACATTATTATGATTACTTAAACGTTGTTAATCGAATACTAAGCTTTGTCTGTGATTGGATTTCCTTCTCTTTGGCTCCAAGGTCTTGACCCACCCACTCCTACTTAAAGAGATACTGAAATAGAATCCATTGTCTTACACTCCCACCATCTGTTCAAAATCCTGCAGCATTTTATGTCTGTTATTTGGAGGATGCCTTTCTGGTAATTTTAATTGTTGTTTTAGTCACCTAGAGTTTCTTACTGTCATTGTTTTCTCTTGTGGGATGTAGAAATATACGCTTTCCAGATTATATGCCTATTATCTTCAGCTTCTTAATCATTCAGTTTATTGCATACAATACAATCCAGTATTCCTGAAGTTTACTGATCTTCTGTTTTGACTGTGAGTTTGTTGTACACTGTAATTTTTTCTGAAAATTTTAGTAGCCTTCCTTATTTACCCTGCGCCCATGTTCACATTCTTAAGTTCGTCCCATTAAATATTTCTGTGGGTCTTAATTGAACCTTTCCTCCGTTCTCGGAATCGCCTATTTCCGGTTGGCGTCCCTTCGGTTTCCGCGTCATCCGGGGTTTCCGCGTCATCCGGGAGCGCGGCAAGGAAGCTCCGCGGCACTATCGCGAGATCGCGGGGCTCGTCGTCGGCAGCTCCACTTCCCGATGTCGCTGAGGGGGAGTCCGCCGTCGCGCCGGGCTCGAATACAAGCAGCTTAATCATGGTTCTATATGTGTACCTGCAAGCGGATGTTGAGAATCACGGAGCCCGCGATGTAGAAGTACGGGAAGTTCATGCGCAGCTGCCAGGCCAGGTCGAAGAAGGCGAGCAGGGTGCGGGAGAGTCCCTTGCAGAAGACCTCGTAGGAGCAGGAGGCCGCGGCCGGCCCCAAGGCCCTGACGGCCAAAGCCGAAGGAGCCGCCGTAGCCATGCACCCGGCGTCGCTGACGGCCTCGCGGCCCTCCAGCCGAAGTCAGGAACGAGGACGGGCGCTGACACTACGCGGCCGCCGGGCTCGGACCTGAGCCTCCCGCAGGCGCGCTGGCTCCCCCGCCGCCGCTGGCGCTCCGCCCCTTCCTGTCTGCCTTTCCTAATGGTATCTGCCACTTAGCGTTTAACTCGTGATGGGTCTGCACCGACTTATTTGGATAAATGTTGTACATTTGTTATTTTACATTGTACACAGAGATAGATATACAGATATTTCCACTTTAAAAGGAAGAAAGGAAGCTAAGTGAAATTACGTAATTTGCCCTCGGGCACAGTGTTTGCAAGGGGCAAGGCCTGGATTAAAACTGCACTTTGCTGTGTGATCTGGGATATTATCTAGGACTGTTAATCTTTTGATTTCATAACATTAACTCGGATATTAGGGCATAATAAGCCAGCCTGGGTACAAAGACCCGATATTCTTAACATACCATTACTGTTAAGGGTCACAGTCTCAAGCTATGCATTTAATGGTCTATTTTCAATGTTTAAAATTGCAGTAGGGCTATTTCAGTTCTAAGTGATAGAAATTACGCACTCACTTAAGCAAAAAGAAAAGAAACATGCTTTTTGTATTATATAATGTCGCTTTCCACCCACGTAAATCCATGAAAAGTACTTATGTATGGAGATGCACCTGTGATACATGCGGCTGGGCCCCAAGGCTTGGAATGTTACAAACGTCTGCATACAAACCCTGAATACCCTTATAATACCACAATTGATCTGCCATAGCTACAGTGCTTTCCTGGTGTTACTGGAGACGCTTTAAATGATACACATTTCGTTACCTTTATTAATCGTTCAATTTAAACAGCAAACACTGTATTTTTCATCATAGACAATTTCCACATCCACAGATTATTCAGATATGTGACCTTTGATTATAGCCTTCAGATCAAAGTTCTGAAAAGCATTGTTCAAATTCCCACATTTCACCCAGTACTGCATACCTATAGTAGCTATTCAAAGCAGTTATTGTATCCTAGAATACCTCTGTTTCTATACATCCTACTTATGGTACAGTGGGTACAAATAACATGCTATTGTGAAATTTGTAGATCTTAACTCTGTGCCCCCACAGTTAGAATGTCCTATTCCACGGCCATTATTTTTTTCTTCTCTTGCTACTTGGCTGCACCAATACCCCCACAGCAACTAGACAACTGACTGCCGTTCAAGACGACTTCTAAGCTGTGGGTTTAGAAACCTAAGAGCAGTGTAAGGTGAATGACAACCAACTCTGAGAACCAGGAGATGGGTAGTTTCTCTCAGTACACAATTTTCTCTCTGAGAATGGAAAGAATAATGCGTAGAACCATGCCGGCTCACAGAAATGATCAAGTCCCTAGATCTTCCATTTCCAACTACATTAAACTGTCGACTCATTGTCTCTTCCACTCCTCTTCTGTCTCTTGCTCTGGCTAACTTCATGAAAATCCTGTATTTTACCCTGATCCCATGGGGAAAATAGCAACTATCTACTGATTACGTAAGGCAGCCTAAATGGTAAAAATGATTGTCCTTGGTTACTAACTGAAAGGTTAGTGGTTTAAATCCATTCAGTGGTGCCATGGAAGAAAGGCCTGACAATCTACTTGTGTAAGATTACAGCCATTGAAGATTCTATGGATTGCAGTTCTACTCTAACACAGATGGGGTCGCCATAAGTCAGTTGACGTAACAGCAACAGGTTTTGGGTTTCAGCTGATAACATGGCTAGGTTGAGATCCTATTCCAGTGAGAGGGGAATCATGGAGCTTTAATTCCTACCTCATGGATGCTCTAGAGCTGATGAAGGATTTCCATCAAGAGGGTGGGGTAGGAACACTATTTTACGGTTGTGGTTTTCATCCTGTCTTTTGATCTTTAGACTTGAATGACTGATCCACACTTCTTGCCATATAGGCACATATAAGTCAGCTATTAAAAATAACACATATCTTAAATCAACTTAGCCTTTCTTACTCCCTTATTTTTATTCTATATCCCAGTTTTAGGACTGATGGCTCATTTTCTATGATAGTCCTTTTGCAAAGTCTTAAGTTTCTGTGGGTCTTCAAAGAACAAAATTGGTAAATTCTCAACTCCTTTTTTTGACAATTTGTTGGTATAAGTGCTCTAATATGTACGAAATGAATTCATAATGCAAGCATTGGATCCGAATGACTTAAGCCAAGAGACAAAGGACAAATTGCAATTCAGTGAAAGGCAGTCTGTCCCACGTTTGCATGCTAACAAATTGGTCACTATCACACACCGAAATTGCTTGAGGTTTAGTGGAAACTTTTACACTCTTTGAAGAACTCTTTGAAAGGAAAGCAAATTATATCATGAGGATTTGAATGATGAGGTCCCATAACAACACCTGACAATTTCTGGATGAAGACAGTACAGTCAATCGTGTCATGTGGAAGTAAACCATTGGATACAACGTTAGAGATTAAGATCTGTCTCTCTAGGTATGTCAATTGTAATGAAAGCTATTTTGCTGATGGTTGTATTAGGAGAATGATTAGAATGTTTGTAAATGGCTTCACTCTACCGGTAAACTTCATTGACTGACTCAGGCATTGCAAGATCCGTTTAACTGACCAACTTCTCGTCAGTTCAGCCATCTGCAGTGTTTGTCAGCTGTGTTTATTACTACATAATATTTTTATACTTGTGTTCACCCCACACTGTTAACTTACATTAATGTCAGACTAGAAAAAAGCACAATTTTCTTTTGAACACTAATCAGTCACTCAACCCTCTGGTTTGCTACCTGTCTAATAATTTTCTTTGGCTTCAAGATAGCCAATTTTTTCTCATCCATTTTTCCTCTGGATGAAATATAGAATTAGTCATGTGATTGTTATGATTCTGTTGGAGCTCTTGGTTTTCTTGTTACTTAACATACAATGGTAAGTAGATTCAGTGTTTTGCAGAGACCTGTCACTGTAAGACCTGAAGCAAACATGACTTGGCAGTGAGAAGTGAGTAAATTTCTGCTCTTAGAGAATCTGCTTATCTTCGACCTAGAGGCACACATTCTATTTGCTGTGTCTCTGACTTCGTTTTTTATGTTATTTCTCTCCTTGTGGAGACACACCAAGCATCTGCAGCTCGATCCATGGAGACTGGTGATGGGAACAGAGAGAGCGTGTGAGGGCCATGGAAACTATAATCTGCTTTATTTTTCTCTTTATCATGTATCATTTTCCAATGTTTATAGCAGATTTGATTCACTTTATGGTAAAAAGCCAGCCAGGTGTGATGCTTTTGTAGATAGTAGCAACCTTCTACCTTTCTGGTCAGTCAGTGATCCTGATATTAGGGAACAGCAAGCTGAGCCAGGCCTCGCAGATAATACTGGGGAAGATGATGTCTTGCTTGACATGATGGAAAACCTAGAGTCTGGCGAAAGATTTGGCAAAACATTGTTTTTGAAGTTCGAATAAGAGCCCTCTCTCTTTCTTGCTTTTTTTATTGTAAATATATATGTAACAAATTGTTTACCTTTTCCACATTCTTCACATGTTCAATACGTGACATTAGCTAAGTTTATCATGTTGTTCAGCCAGTACCTTTATTCTTTCCGGATTTTCCCATCACCTTTAACAGAAGCTCAGGGTCCGCCAAGCAGTGAACCCTCATTTTCTCCTCCCTCCCACACAGCGCTGGTAACCACTGATACCTTTGGTCTCTATACACTTGCCTATCCTAGATATTTCATATAAGGGGAATTATACAGTATTTTTTCCTTTGCGACTGACATTTCATTCAGCATAATGTTTTCAAGTTTATCTGTGTTGTAGCATGTATTAGGACTTCATTTCTCTTTAAGGCTGAGTAATATTCCATTGTCTGTCCGTACCGCATTTTGTTTATCATTCATTTGTTCATGGGCGTTTAGGCTGTTTCCACTGCTTGACGGTTGTGAATGGTGCTGCAGTGAACACTGGTGTCTAAGGATCTGTTTGCGTTTCTGCTTTCAGTTCTTTTGGGTGTCTACCTAGGACTTGTTTCCTTGCTTTTTGTCATGGCTTTTGCTATGTACAGTTTGGCATCATTATCATTCTCACTAGAGTATTATCATGGCTAAACATGAACTCTTATCTTCACAGTCCCCAGGAGATCTTTGTTTTCTTTCATTTTTCTCAGACAATGGAGCGCATCCCTTCCTTTGTCAATCAGCACAGCTTTCGATTAGGACAACTCTTGGAGCAAAAAGCTCTCATCCAGGACAGCTCTAAGCCAGAGAAGCTCTCAGAGCAAAAAGCTCTCTGAGCTCCAGTTTCCAGGGTTTTTATAAACCAGTCCATATGCTCCTTGTCACCAGGCAGGCACCCTAGCCAGATGGGGGCCGAACAAATCCTTAGGGGATAGACAGTCACTTAGGAAATCCCCTAAGTTATTTTTTCAAAAACCAAAAAACAGGCCACATAAGGGAACTCACTGCACCACAACTCTGCAGTCCTCACACTAAGCAGAAGGTAGCGGCATTCTATCACTGGAGGAGTTTGACTCTAAATGCAGCGAAAAAGAATTGATCGGCTCAGCCTCCCACACTAATGACCTGACAGAAGAAGCATGCCTGTTTATGGATATTTACTACAAACACAACACACACATACAAGCAAAACACCACCCATTGTTCAGAGATAAAACAATAACCCATAGGTTGGAACTATCAGACAGGAGCTTTCAAAATAATCATGATTATGTAGAAATTTTTGAAATGGTGTATCTTTGGCTATGTATATTTTCACCAAAAAAGAAAGGCCGAGAAGGGAGAGGGCTGACATGTCATGGGGTTGTTAACCAGTGTCATAAAACAATATGTGTACTACTGTTTCATGAGAAACTATTTGTTCTGTAAACCTTCACCTGAAGTACAATAAAAGAATAAATATCATGATTAATATATTAAAGAATCTGGTAGGAAAGGTGGATAATATGTACAAACAGGAAGTTTTCACAGATGGGAACTATATAAAAGACTCAAATGAAAATGCTAGAAATGAAAAACCTAGTTATTCATTCAAGATGAAGGATTCCCTTGACGGTTCATCAACAGGCTGGACACAGCAGGGACAAAGAATCAGTGATATTGAAGATAGGTTGATAGAAATTAACCAACATGAAACATAAAGAGAAAAATGAATGTGTGTGTGTGTGTGTGAGAGAGAGAGAGAGAGAGAGAGGCTGAGACTGAGAATAGAGCAGAGTATCCAGAAGCTGAGAGGCAATATTTGGGGCCACTGAAAGGAGCTTCTGATATTAGGTGTCTCTTAGCCCAAAGTGGATGATTCCTAAGAGGACGCTTGCAAGCTACTGGCTAAACCGTATGCCTTTAGACAGGATGCATATGTGCCTGTCTAGATTTCTGACCAAGAAATAACGGTTTCTCTGCAAAAGGTCTCTTTTTGGAGGGATTTAACTGACTAGGGATTATGGGAAATGTTATTTCCAGTGTTTATGTTTCTGTGGTAAAGATGAGAGCTTAGAAAATTGGGAATGGCACCAAGTATGTAGAAAAACATCTGACACACGCATTTTGTCTAAATGCTTAGCTTTGAACCTGCATCTGTAGACTTTGAAGTGATTCTCTGATACCTTTTAATAATAAATGTCTTATTTTGCTTGAACGATTAGAATGGATTTTTTTTTTTATTTCAATGTGTCCATGCTAATAGTTCCAATTCAAATTTAGGATTACAAGATTATTACTTAACTCCTTTGATTTTTACACTTTTTTTCCCTCATTCTGAAAGTTGTGTTCTGTAACAACACCACATTAACATCATTACTTGTGTGTATCTCTGTGTGTAAGAGTTATAAATTAATAATACTTAGGTTATTCTAGCAACATACTTATTAAAAACAATTTAAGATTTTTTTTGTTTGTTTTTAGGATATATCCTACTGGGGCTAAAAAGCCAAGTTAACGTGTTTTAAAATCACTTGAGACAATTCTTCTTCTGTGGTTAAATCACCTACCAGATAAACAGGTTTGTTTGTTTTAATTTGCTTTTGATATTTAGGGATTGCTATTCCTTTGGTTTTGATTTAATTTGGCTTATGATTATGTAATTTACATAGTACCAGAGTCAAAACTTCAAAATGGTCGAAGGTGACTTTTTTTTTTTTTTTGGTCCTTTGTAGGTAACCATTTTTTAAAATTAGTTTTTGATTAGGCTTTCCATTCTTTCTTACGTAATATGTAGCATATTATACACATTATTCATATCTTGCTTTTTTAACTGAATATAACTGGGAATGACTCCATAGCATTACGAAGCAATCTTCGTCATTTTTTATAGCTGAGTAGTGTTCTATTTATCCTCTCTGCAGTTATTCACAGACTCAGGCTGAAGAAGTCTTCACAAACATCAGTATATCTTCTAGAGGGTATTCTTCATGATGTGTGTGTGTGTGTGTGTGTGTGTGTGTGTGTGTGTGTTTGAGGTGGGGCAGGATTTATGGGCTAGGCATATAGTTTTCACACATCACTTCTCCATTCTAGTGGCTAGAACCCAATCACTTCATCACTCTTAACTGCAGGCAAGACTGGGAAATGTGGTATTGTGCGCTCAGAAAGAAGAGAAGAAGAAGAATTCCGGTGAGCTGCACAGTATCTGCCACAGTCTTCATGCCTGTTCTTAAATCACTGTATGTACCCTCTTTCTACACATAGAACACAGTCATACTTCTTCCCTGGGGACACAACTCAAAGTCGTGTCCAGTTACTATATCAGCTGAAAGTCTACAATTTCTGGGTGATGAGCAGTCAGTCCTCTTTGTCACTTCTGCATGTGGTCCCTCATTGTCTGGCAACAAATGAACACAAAAAATACAAGACAGATGCCCTCCTCCATCCCTCACCTCCAAACATAAAATTACTGATTAGGGGCAGGTTAAGTGGAAAAATAACCCCCCCTCTCAGTTAGAAAAGAAAAGAATAGGCGGATCACAGCCATCCATCATTTGCCCATAGCAATAACAAAACCCTGCTGGGTGGGCACTGTGAAGCACCTCACACTTTCTTCACAGAGGAGTTCCTGTTTAATCCTTGTGTTTTGGCTCTGGGAAGAGCTCCCTTATCCATTGTTCTCTGGGGCTACTGGTTCTGCCCTCTGGGATGTTCTTCATTACTATAATCTTCCTTGGCTACATCTAAACTGGGTTA